GTAAGGACTTCAATTCGTTGGGCTGGTCTACACTAGAGGGGGGGATCGATCTAAGATACGCAACTTCAGCTAAGTGAATAGCATAGCTGAAGTCGATGTATCTTAGATCAATTTACCTCGGGTCCTCACGGCACAGGATCGACGGCCGTGGCTCCCCCATTGATTCCGCTACCGCCTCTCACTCTGGTGGAGTTCCGGAATCGACGGGGAGCACGTTCGGGGATCGATTTATCGTGTCTAGACGAGACGCGATAAATCGATCCCCGATAGATCGATTACTACCCGCCGATCCGGTGGGTAGTGAAGACGTACCTGTCACCCCAGGAGGGGTGTGACCAAACCATGACCTGGCTAGCAGGCTGAGTGGCAAGAAGAGGCAGATCGCCTCTGGGCCAGAGTGACTGTCACTAGAGAGGAAACTGCTGCAGCGAATCAGCTCCGTCGAAATAGTTTTAATGTTTAATACACCCTGTAGCTTTTCAAATGGAAATGAATTCAAGAATGCAAGTCTTTAAAATCACAGACAACATGAACACTTCAGACAGCTGCTGACCAAACCATTGAGGCAGTACAGCAAAAGCAGGAAGAGCCAAATTTGGACATGTAATTCCACTCATCTGAACAGCTTCATCCCTTCTCACGCTCTGTTTGTATAGGGCCAGCACAATGGGGCCCCACGTTTGGTTGGCCCGGCCTTAGGCACTACTTTAGAATCCTGAATGGTAATAATAAGGGATGAAGTTGCCCCGGGAGGTTCTGTGTATTGAAACAAGCTGAAACAGCCGTGCTTGGCAATCATGGAAACACAAGGGCTGATCGTCAGCTGGTGGAGTAGCTTCTCCATATCATTATTGATGGCTAAAAGCAAGAATATACTTACCAATCCATGGGAGTACGTAGTGATAGAAAATATTATCCTTGGGGTCTGCAAAATCGTGATTGGGAGAGAGAAAAACAGCTTTGTGTTAGTGGTTTGGTCCGCACGGATTGATTACATTGGTCATTCATATCCCTAGACAGCCTGTCTTCAGACCTATTGTGACGGGTGTGGAGTTGCCTGTAATCTATGGGTTTGTCTAGATGGCGAGCTAGTGTGCAGTACGCTAAGGTGTTCCTAGCATGCCGTGCACTAACGGTCCCTCTGGATGATGCAACCGTGTGCTAAAAGTTCCCTTGCACATATTGACCTGCTCTGCACTAAGAACCGTTTTCAGTTTAGTTAGTGTGCAGCACGCTATCGCGCTGTAGATTTACAGCCCAGCTTGCCAAGTGCTAACTCACCATCTAGACAAGCCCTTCGAATACTATGGGCGCCATATGTTTGTCTGAGCTTTGTTCAGGGAAACGACCCAGGAAGACAGACAGTAGTCCGCATAAGAGCTCACTAACACACACCTGGGACTCGTAACGGTGGTGATATGCTATCTCCATTCCCCAGGGCTGAATCAGCCTAGGAAGGGGGAGATGGGTTTAGCTGATGGTTAAAGGGGAGAAACTGCCCCCCAGACCTTAGGCTGCCTAGAGTGCCTACCGAGGGCAAGGAAGGTAAGATGAACCTACTTGTGGGCCTTTTGTTGTTTTAGAAACCTTTTCCTTTGTCATACTGTGTTCCTACTGTTAGGACTACACAATACTTTGCTTAAGAAGGCTGTTTTGAATCTTCTATTCACTGCTGGCCACTAGATCCCAGAGGGAAGAACTGTAGGTCCCGAGTCCAGTAGGATCTGTTGGGATAAGCAGTTTGTACACAGGGTGCTACAGACTAGTACCCTGGTCTAAGAGTGGGAGAATCACAGGATTCTGCCCTAGAGGTGAAGGCTTGAAGCCACCTGAAAGGGGGTTCATTCAGAAGAGAGGACAGAGGTGCTTGAACTGTAACCCGTGTCGTTCCGTACATATAGAAGGGAATGTTGCTCCCCCTCTGTGCTTTGTCTCTGGGGTATTAAAATAATGGGGGACGGCATATAATAAATAACTCAGCACAATGTGAAGTCTCTGCATGAAGAAGAGACACAGGACTACAAGGACCAAGGATCCTGTACGTCTAGAGCTGACTGGGAACATTGTACAGGGCCAGCCTGTATCGTTAAAATAAAAGGACCATTGTACTAACACTGTGACACCTCGTCCCCCGCAACCTTCTCTCCCATCACAGTTCAGAATGGTTTATTGTCTCTGGATATGCTAAATATGATGATCCTAGCTACTGTGTTCTTTTTATGTAGCCCTATAGAAAATAGACATGCAGTGCGGGTACAGGTGCAGCATGCAAGTGTCCAAGTGTGCAAAAAAAACCCACTTTTCTATAACTGTGTAATTTGCCATTTTTGCCGCCTCACTGCTCAATCCTCTATAAACACATACATAAAATCATCCATCCCCACCTGTTACCTCCCCTAACTCTCCTAGTGTAACTCCTTTGGAGAGGGTGTTTCGGAAATGCTACACTGAGCATCTAGTGGACTTGCCCCTGAATCACAGCAGCAATTGGTGGCAGAGGAGACAGACTGGCTAGCAACACTACCAGAACCAGTCATAATAAGGCAGAACTCCGAGACGGCGTGTTTGGTTTTACTTTCAGTTTTTTGGCTGTGTTTGGAGTGTAGCAGGGAGAGAAGCATCGCAGCCAGGGAATCAAGTATCGGAGGGGTAGCCGTGTTAGTCTGGATCTGTAAAAAGCAACAAAGAGTCCTGTGGCACCTTATAGACTAACAGACGTATTGGAGCATAAGCTTTCGTGAGTGAATACATCTGACGAAGTGGGTATTCACCCACAAAAGCTTATGATCCAATATGGGTGTTAGTCTATAAGGTGCCACAGGACTTTTTATTGCTTTTTACAGCCTGGGAGGACCTTTCAACCCTCCACATTCCTATCCAAGGGAGGATTTTACGGGATTTTTGGGACACTCAGTAATGTGCAGAGTCATGGTCAGGCTACCAAGAGCCAACCTACCCGCAGACTGGAATCCAGACCAGAGAGCAACAAGGATGATCTGGCCATCCTTGGGGTGGATACTTCATAAGAACATCCTTATTTATTTATTTTGCTGTTTTGTTTTAAGCCAGCCACCAACTTCAGTGTTGCAACACCAATCAAAGGATGAGCCTTAAATCATTATTTACCTAGGCAAGTGCTGGGCTCAAAGGGTGGCTTTTAGTGGCTATACATGTTGGAAGGTGTGGAGTTTATGTCTTGTTGTTTTTATCTTTTATTATCCTGATCCCTTTTTCCTTTGTCCCTTAGCCTCAGTTCCCCATACCTAATCAACAGTCACTGTTTTATTACCTGGGAATTGTGATAGCTATTTTATTTTTGTGTGTGCTCTAACTGACACTCCTCTTTATGATATTGTGTGTGAAATATATTCTGAAGAGACAAGCTCTCTGTGTTCTCTGCACTAGGAGGGGTTTCGTTGGATGGAGGTATCAGGCACTCTTATAGGTGAACTCAAGACCCATAACACATGTTCCCTCTAATTTTTCCCATGCGTGTGCAGAACGAATTTGGAGGTGATGTGTGGTGGGGGTGAGGCCGAAGGGTTCGGAGTATGGGAGGGGGCTCAGGGCTGGGGCAGAGGGTTGGGGTACGGATGGGGGGGCGGTGAGGGCTCTGGCTCAGGGTGTGGGCTCTTGGGTGGGATCAGGAATGAGGGGGTTCAGAGTATGGGAGGAGGATCAGGGCTGGGGCAGAGGGTTGTGGTGTGGGAGGTCAGGGTTACGCCTGTTGGTGCGGGCTCTGGGGTGATGCTGGGGATGAGGGGCTTGGGGTGCAGGCTGCCCTGGGGTTGCGGTGGGGAGAGAGGACTCCCCCCAGCCCTCTCTCCCCACAGCAGCACCTGGGCTTGGAGGAGATGTGTCTCTCCCTGTTGCGGCAGCTCCAGGGCTGGGGGAAGGGCATCTTTCTCTGTCACATCCCTGAGCGCCTGCGCAGCCCTTGATAGGCTGCTGCGCAGCCGCACAGATTAGAGGGAACTTAGCCCATAACCCCAAGGAGAAAAGGCAGAAGACTGCAGCCATACATCAGGGCTGAGGTTACACTTGCTTACTCAATTCCTGGCAGGCCTCAGAGCAGAATCACACCTTGGAGGACTTCGATAACAAGTGTGTTGTTCTCATTCAGAGGCAAAATGCACCACCTCTTACCTCCCCTGGCACATACAGCCTTAGCGTAATCAGCATCGTTGAGGGTCACAAACACTACAAATTTCCCAAACCACACGGGGAAGGCACGTGCGTACTTTTTACTCCATTCCAATACCTTGTCCAGATCCTTCCCTCTTCCAGTGAACTGCAACAATGATGGAGGGAAAAGAGGACAGAAGCAATAAGTCAGGCGTTTGCCAAAAATCTCTCTCCTGTAGAGTTCAAGACAACCTGTCCAGTGTCAGAAGAATGGATAACTATCACAGTGCAAATTCTAAAGTCTGTGATCCATCTGACCATGCTTCTTATGGTGCTATAAGAATCAGTGAATTCCATTATTTAATAATCCGTTGCTGTGAAAGTGAGATGAACAAACATTTAAGCAAGCACAGTACACACACCTTCCTTCCCTACTACACTCCAGTATTAAGATGCTTCATCTTCCACCCACAAAGTCTCACTTCAAAACTTAGCTCCCTTCATATACCCTGTGGGAGTAGAACCAGCTTGAAGACCTTTGTTTTTGTCAGATTTACAATGTCATTTGATAGCAGTGGTTAGTAGCTTAATAAAAGAATTGTGCCTTACCGTAACGGTTTAGCAAAAGCAACCAACCTCAGCCATGGGCTGGATAACGCAGGACTTGAAACTATGGTGCCTACAATAATAAGCGCATTAAAAATCTACAGCACCAAATAAAATAAGATGAGCCAATCTGATCCAGTTTGTCAACTTCTATGATGCATCCTCAGATTTTTTGTTAGCACATTTCAGATGCTTTAGGTTGTTCAATGATATCTTCATAACCTGAAAGGAGACCAGATGCCTTCCAAAGGGAAAGAAAACAAGTTCTAGCAGGCATCTGGTGTCACTTATACACAAGTGATATCATGGGTAGAACATGGCTGGAAATTTTGTCACAGGATATTTTCAAAGAACACTGACTTTTCAACCACATTGACTTGGGTTGAGGGTGGGAATTTGCTTAGTTTCTCTCCTTTTTTAAAAGTCTCCTCCCACACTGTCTTGTGCTTCTTACACTTCATCCACACCTCTGCCCTGATAGCTCCGTTAGGCTCCACCGCTCACTCCTGATTCTGTGCCTTCTCTTCTGCCATGCCTGCATTCTTGGCACGAGCACCCAGCTAATCTTCCTTATGTACCATCCTCCTCTTTCTTTCTTAAAACTTCTGAAGTGCCACCTACTCCAGGAGGTGTTATTGCTACAAGGGTCAAACTCAGCTCTGCTTGGTCTCTGTTGCGTCAGTTTATGCCATAGGATTTGATCCTGCGTCCTTAAAAGTCGGTGAGGAAAATCATTAGTTTTCACGGCGCAGGGATTATTATTCTACAGCACCGTGTGCTTTTATGGTGCTATAGGAATCAGTGAATATCTAGATTACTAAATACTAGTAATGAATGACCTGTGCTGGTTGGGAACCTGCAATTCTGTTTTATGGGAAAATCTGTGAATTCAAAATTCATCTTTGTTCAGAATCAGAATGAAACACTGGATTTCCAAGTCTCCTGTGAAATGAAATGTTTGTGTGGGGGGAGAATCATTTGGGGGTCCATTGAAATTTTCCATTTCAATCAAATCAAAACGGTATGTTTCGGTATTGATTTTTTGATTTTATATTTTTACATTTT